GTTGTTAAAAAATAGTGATAGTCTCATTATCTGTCACACGATCACTGCTAACAAGGAGTCACCTGACAGGTGCACACTGACCATACCCTGGGAGAATTGGGCAGTGGGTCTGGCTTCCCAGAAAGGGGAATGCTGCTCTCCGGTAGGATGCCTGCTCCGTGAGACTTGTAGGAAAGAATCTAAACCCTAATCTGCTCTAATACCAACCAAATAAGAAAACACTTCAGAAGGAGGAACAAGAAAGTAGGGCGCTGTGCCCTGCCCTAAACAACGTATTTAATATGGAAAGGGGTTGGCTTTTTGAGAGGCCTGATCTTTCCTGTGTGAAAGTGGAAGAAGAGAAAGGAGAGGGGGAGGGGGAGGGAAAGAAGGGAGAGAGAGAAAATGAGTTCCAACTTAGGACTCCATCCAACTTTAAAAGAAAATGCGACCTGGTGTAAGAAGGGACGCTATCCGCAGGCTCTGGAGCATCCATTCCCAGCCCTCAGGGTGAGGAGGCAGGGACAGCCAGGGATCCGCCCGGCCCTTCTCACCCCGCCTCAACCCTGCAGCAAAGACCTGGAAGCTGATTTCTTGGGCAAGTTTTATGTTTATATATATATATATATATGTGTGTGTGTGTGTGTGTGTGTGTGTATAATATATATGTGTATATATATAATATATATATATATATATGCCAGAAATATTATAGTTTGTTAAAAGTAACCCAGAGAGGGCCCCAGTGGTGGTAGCCCAGAGCTCGCCAGACGACCCAGACTATGGATACGTACAGGGCGACTATCTTACTCGCATCTTCGCCCCACAACCTGATGAAATTTGGCCACATTCTGAGTGAATAAATAAGCAATGAAATGTCTAAGTCAAGCTTTAGCTCTAAAAAGCAGAACCATCTGGTAGCTGTTTGGGGCCTGTCAGGCAGTGTGAGATGCTACCTAGTGAGTGTAAGCAGAGGCATTTCCTCTGAAAGAGAATCACTACACATAATATGCTCATGGGGGCTGGAGCACCAGACGTGGGCACCAACTCCTTGGAGAATGGGCCTTGGGCCTGCCCACAGGAAGTCAGGCCCTACACTGGTGATCCTTTAAGAACCATCTGACAGGGGCTAAGCAGGACTCCAGGAGCGAGCTTGTGTCATGTGGACATGTTCAATGCCACACAGGACTCCCTACAAAAAAAAAAAAAAAAAGATTGCTCCCAACACAGGGAGACCTTGAGCAATTCTTTCTTAGCATCACTTAAGTCAATAGTTTTAAGGTGTGAGAAGAAAATCATGCAGCTGTGAAGTGACGTAGTCCTAATTTAAGTGTCTTAGCCATGACACAAAGGCACAGATCTTGGAGGTACTCAAGCTGGAGGCTGTCTGGTCTTTAACTTTAGACAGGACACTGTCTGTGAATTCCCATGAGGCCTCTCATTGGTCACTTGTCTAGTACCTTCTTCTGGGTGTCTCTTCATCAGGCTGGGGACACATGAAATACTTGAAGCACATTAAATACTTCTTGCTCTAAGCCTCTTTTAAGAACAACTTTACCATTTTAATTTACATATGGTAGGGTCTGAAGGTTTGGGGTCCTCACTGTCATTCATATGCTGAACCCTCATCACCCAGGTGATGGCATCTGATACCCTTGGGAGCTGATTAGGTCACAAGAGCAGAGCCCTTACAAAAGAATGTCAAGTCTGTGCATGGTAGCCTATGTATAGAATCCTAGCACTGGGGAGGCTGAGCAGTAGGAGGATTTTGAGTTTGAGGTCAGCCTGGCTTACATGTGAGACCTTATCTTGTTTCATCCCTTCTATGGAAGGACTCATAAGGTACTGTCTAGGAACTGTCCTCACCAGACCTCCACCAAGCTGGTACCCTGATTTGGAGCTTCCCAGCTTCTAAACCTCTGGCAAATAAATTTCTGTTGTGAAGAAGACACACAGTCTACATTACTCTATGAGAGCAAATGGAATATGCAACATTAAAGAAAATGCACCCAGGTCAACTGTATAGTTGACATGCAATAAAACATCTAAAGCATTCTGACATATACACCGACATAAACACGTAGAACACTTTCATTGCCCCGGAAGTCTTGTGCGCCCTTTCTCGCTAACTTCAGCTTGCTGTCACTGTAGATGAGTTTGGCCTTTTCTGTAATTTCCTGTCAATGAAACTGTCTGGGACATTCCCTTCTGCATCTGGTTCTTTTCTTCCCATATAGTGTGTGGGGACTCAACTATCTTGCTTTATCAGTATTTGTTCTTTATTACTGTTCAGTAACATTCCAATGCATGAATACCCCATCCTTTGTTGATGGACATTTGGGTTGCATATAGTTTTGGGCTACTATGAATAAAGCTATTAATATTCAGGTTCAAGTCTGAACTTAAGAACTTACATATTTATTTTTCTTAAGTAAATCAGTACTTAACATTTTATGGCTTTTATTTTGCCAACTGTATTGTAGGTTCTCAGGACTGGGGATGTTGCTTAGGACTAGAGTATATATTTACCATATACAAGGCACTGGGCTCAATTTCCAATACTCTCAACCCTAAAGGCCTTAAAAAAAAATGTTGCTGTAGGCCTTTTTTTTCTTTTTTTGGTCATGGGATTTGAACTCAGGGTCTGGGTGCTGCCCCTTAGCTCTTTTTGCTAGCTCTACTTCATTTTTGAGTGGTTAATTGGAGATGAGTATCATGGGGATTTTTCTGCTGGGGCTGGCTTTGAACCTCGGTCCTCAGATCTCAGCCTCCTGAGTAGCTAGGATTACAGGCATGAGCCAGTGGTGCCTGGTTAAGTACACTCTTGATCATGCTCTTCAGATGGGTCAAATGACCTTTCTGCCTTCCCTACCTTCCAGTCAAGCAAGAAGTTTCTAAACTCTACCACTGTGGCCTCCATGTGGAATGTTTCCTGCTTGTCAGTGTCACCCACCACTGGGGGTGGACCAGGGAACTCAGCAGGTGCACATGCAAACTGACCACTACGAAGAACAATGGCCCATCTTTCCCTTCGAAGCCTTGGTGGTTCACTTCTCTCTTGCAATCAAGCAACATGCCTGGCCAAGCGAGCAATGTGATACTGAGAAATAGTTACAGGAAAGTCACCCAAAAATAAGTTAGAGGCAGTAACAAAATTTGTTATGTTACTTACAGTTTGTCATCCACCTTTTACTTATCAGACCCCAGCTGAACATGGGGTGGACAAGAAGACCCTGTCCTCATACACTGGGAGGAAATGGCAGTGAACATCAACAATTACATCATCTACATGGAGATGATTCCAGAAGCTGAGAGCAGGTAGCTTTCTAAAATAAACAGGAATAAAGGGAAATTCAATGTCCAGCACCCTCACCTCAAAATTAAGCACACTCTGACCTTCAGTTCCCTACAAGCACAGTGGTTCAAAGCAGGACAGGAGCTACTCAGTTCTTAACTCTGCCTGTGACCCCTAGTAGCTGTGTGACTCTGGATGAGTTACCTGGCTTCCCCTTGCCTCATTCCTGTGTGATGGCAGAGGGCCACACGTGTTCCTCTCTGGGCTGTTTTGAGGATTACTTACTATTCACCTCGCACAGCACCTGTGTGTGTGCTAGATGAGACCTATTTAAAAAATGTACATAGTATGGAACTTATTTGCTGACATAAATACTGTCTGGTTAATTTGATGACCTGGGAGACCGGGGCGCGGGGGGTGGGGGGGAAGGGGCAAGTGGGACATGTGGTTACTTCTGCTAGTATTCTCACGATCAAGCTGCAAATGTGGTTGCAAGGGAGAACCTAGTACATGATCTCTCAAAGCTGTTGTTCTGTACGGACCTCAGGACCACCCCACGCAACCCTGAGGCAAGCCTACTACCATCCATCCAGCCTGCAGCCAGTCACGCAGATTCAGTGAGCAAAGGCTCAGGTGTTGACCAGGGCTAATGCAGGGTAGAGCAGTCTCACTGAAAATTAAACCTAAATAACCTTAACTATTACAGATGCCATAAATAAACCACTAAAACTCCTCACATAACTAAAGCAAAGACCATGACAGGGTAGCCAGGCTCTAAGGGCTGGTGACAGGGTCCCGCAGCTTGAGGGTTGGTAAGGCCCACAAAATTCCTCTGAAAAGAGGCAGAAGATTTTTGGTGAAGACTATGGTAGAAAAATCCAAAGCCAATGAGGTTCAAGTGCCACAAAATAAGCAGTAGCCTCTTACAAGAGGCAGGTCTTTAAAAATGTGGCTGGCTGCCGGCGTTCGCCACCTGCTCCTAGTGACCTGCGTTCCGGGATGTCTCACCTGCTGTCCCCTCGCATGAACTGCTTCTCACTAGCCAGCCAACTTGGCTGCGTGGTTGAGGAAGTAGCACAGGTTGTTCCATTCTGAAAGGAATCTGGCACTTCAGCAAAAGGGCATGTGAAAATTCTATTAAAAACCAAAAAGGTAGTAATTAAGACGTCAAGCCAAGTCATGTAATAACATTTAGGCCCGTTTCACGTCACGCTTTATACAGGCAGTCGTGGTTACATGAATCCAATTTACAAATATGCGAACGCTTCCTGCTCCTGCTATTAGTGCTTTAGTCTGAGGCCTGCCTCTCCATTTTTCATGGGAAAGAGAGCCGAGTTATGACACTTTGCAAGTTTCTGTTTTCTTGCTCAATGTTCTTTGGGAAAATAGTGAAAACAAAACAATACAAAACAGCCACTCACATTATGTCCAAGAACAATAAGCTACTCAAATAAATGTATCTAAGAAGATAGGCTTGGACATAAGTCAGATGTAAGAGACTTAGAAACCTCAATTTCAAACACCAATTTCTGAGCCTACTAGAATCCCTCCCCCAAGGCTATGGGCTCCCTCCTCTTCTGGCACAATACCGTGGGAAAGCACGTGGCGCTTCATCTCCCCACCCCCGCCCCGCCCCCACGCTTTCAGGTGACAATGATCAATGCTCTGCTAGGTACAAGTTTTTCTTGTCTCAGAAAATTTTTAAAAACAAGCCACAAGATCCACATTAGAATATAAGTTTTTTAATTTTTATAAATAACTTATCTGTTACAAAGATAGTTTACCCAGCTAAATCACAAAAACCATCAACTCAGATATCCAAATTACGTTTTATTAATAAAACAAGTAAAAACTGATTTATCAATCTTCACATAGAACCGCAGATGAAGCTGAAAAAAACAAGGCCTACTTTTAAAACAAATGCATCAAATGTCAGGGCTTTGGGTCTATTGTCTACAACTAGCATTGTTGTATTCCGTTCTGCTCTGCAGAGGTCACCTGCAATCATGCTGAGTGCGAGAACACAGCCATTTGCAGACGTCTTACAGTGGTGACAGTATGCTACCTCCTTTCTTTTGCTGTATTTTAACACTTCCTTTAGCTCCATTCTAAGCACTGGTATGTAATTTCATAATTCTTTAAAAATGTATACTGCTAAGATTTTTCTTGATTTCATTTAGTTTATATACACTCCTGATTATCTAAATATTTATTTTTCTTACAAAAATAGATCATCAAAATAAAGAGATGCTTGAGGTTGCTTCAGTGTTCAAGTTTTTTTTTTTCTTTTTCCAGCTTTTCTTCAGTTGTCCTAAATATGCCTAGTCTTGTTTGTGTAAATACATGTGGTACTGCCACCAAGTCAGTTTAGAAATGGATTGTCCCAACAGCAAATCACTTAAACATCTTTCTAAAAAGGGGGGGGGGAGGGGCTGTCGGTTGCTCATTTTGAAACTGTACTTTCCCGGTAACAACCTCGGTGACAGTTCCGTGGACACCAAGCAGGTGAAGCGCTCTGTCTGTGGGTTAAAAACTCCTCGCTTTAAGCTTCTCTGTGGAAGACTAAACACTGTTTTGTCACCCTGACAGAGTCAGTACACAGGGTGTGGTGTCATCTCCTAAGACCATCGTCCTGTTTTCTGCAATGCATCTGTCTGGCATCACACAACATGGCACCCATGAGGGCAAAGTACAAAATAAGTAGAGGAAAGTTATTTTGTGCATCGTTTCATTCATTAATGCTTTTTATTTCATGGCATTGCTTTTCTCAGGTAAGGCTTTTAAAAGGGGACATGATCGTGATTAACAACTAAAAAGAAAAAAGAAAATTAGTTAACAAAAGGCTATTACACTATACATATAGACGTATAAGAAAATAATAAAGAAGAAATCACTTAAAGCAGACGAGAAATCTGTACAGGAGGGAAAGCTTGGGGTATCTCACTGCATGTTTGTACAGACAACGTAAGCTGCTTTCCTTCTCATCTGAGACCCGAGATGCTGGCTTCACAGAGACGTCTTCAGGGAAGACGAAGACAGGGCCAGAGTACCACAGGTGTGTGAAGATGAAGTTCTTCCCCGTCCCTGGCACTATGCGGCAGCGAACAGTCTTTAAATAGTTAAACCTTGTTCCTCCTCTTGTGTGTAGTGTTTCACTGAAAGCTTTAAAAACAGCAAAGAAGCTATCATTCTTTCCTTCCTCCTGTCAAAAATCAGTAGTGACATGAGGGGAGAAAGCAGTGGGAACACGTAGGCGTAACAGAGCGAGAACCATCCACCGTGGGACATGGCAGGCAGCAGGCACCCCCGTCTTTCAGCAGATCCCCTTCCACGGGACGGCTCTCAACTGCCCGTGACATTCTACTGAGGTATTATTAGCTCTGTGGGCTGACATTTAATATTAGCACAACACCATCTTGTCACACCTTCAATTTGACAAAATCCTATGTAGCAGTGAAACTCAGGTTCTTGAATTTAGACGTGGCTGTGGAGAAGACACAGGGCCTTCTGGCTCAGAAATGCCGTGGCATCTCGCACTGTTCACAGCGGATTAGGGCTGGATGGTTCAAGAAAGTGCAGGCAGTGCAGTTCCACTGAGCACCCTCATCATCTTCTGTGTCTTGAGTCTTTGGTGTTTTGATGGCGGACCTTTGATCTGGAAGGGAAAAAAATTGAGAAGTAAAAATCCCCACTCAAGATACTTGACTGGCAATTCTATACATTTGTACTGCAAGGCACAAAGCAGCTTGTTAACTGAAGGAAGCAACTAGCTGAAATGGAACCAGGACACCAGCAGCTTCAGGTAGACTAGAGCATGGCCTCCGCTCTGGGGAAGTACAACATGGACATGGGAGCAACCCCCCCGCCCCCCCCCCCGGGCTCCTTGAAGGAGAAAGCATGTTCTCCAGTCTATAATACAACAGCAAACCAACAGCAAACAGTGCTGTCATGTCACTTAGGACTGAAAATGTGTTTCATAGTTTCATTCCCACTCAAGTAGTGAGTGTTTCATTAAATGTTTTTATTTTCTGCTGAAAGTGACAATTGTCTCTAAATAAAACAATAGCTAAAGCCTTATTTATTCATGTATCAATGACTGCCTGTGAGGTAAATCAGTGTAAAAATTTCACCTTAATAGTTTGTTTCATTCTTTTTTTTTTTGAGTCGGTTGTGAGGCTTGAATTCTGGGCTTGAGCACTGTCCCTCAGTTCTTCAGCCGAAGGCTAGCAATTTACCACTTGAGCCACAGTACCACTTCCAGTTTTCTGTTGGTTAATTGGAGATAAGAGTCTCACGGACTTTCCTGCCAGGGCTGGCTTTGAACTGTGATCCTCAGATCTCAGCCTCCTGAGTAGATAGGATTACAGGCACGAGCCACCGGGGCCCAGCTTTTGTTTCATTCTTTAAATCAGATTTAATATGGTAGGACATAAAGTCTGATTTTAAAAGAACACTAAGTAGCCTTTTAACTCTTGAAAATTTTCTTGATTCTGTAGCCTTTTTTTGTTGTTGGTGGTGATAGGGCTTGAACTCAGGGATGGGGCATTGCTCTGGAGCTTCTTTTTGTTTAAGGCAAGTTTTCTCCTACTTTGAGCCACAGAACCACTTTTGGTTTTCTGGTGGTTAACTGGAGGTAAGTCGCACAGACTTTCTTACCCAAGCTGGCTTCAAACTGTGAAGCTCAGATCTCAGCTTCCTGAGCTGCTAGGATTATAGGCAGGAGCCACCAGTGCCTGGCTCTTCTGTAGCCTTTCAATCTGATACAACTCTATTTTTCTATTTTTGTTGTCACATTAAGCTAATCATTGTCCATGCCAATGTCTACAAAGCCTCTCCCTGTTTTCTTCTAGTAGTTTTACATTTTCACATTTTATGTTTAAGTCTTTAATCCACTTGAGGTAATTTTTGTACATGATTCAAGAAGAGTCCAACTTCATTCACCTGAATGGGCACATTTAATTTTCCTAATATCATTTATGAGAGAGACTATCATTTCTCTATTGTTTTTGGCTCCCTCATCAATAGGTTGGCCATACAAACAGATTTATGTGTTTCTACACTCTATATTCTGTTATCTGTTTTGTCTCTTATGCCTGTACTGTATTGTTTTGATTATGGTAGGTTTGTATTCTGTTTTTGAAATAAGGCAGTGTGAACACCCTCTAGCCTTATACTTACTAAAGATTCTTTTGGTGGTTTCATATGAAATTTAGGATTTTTTTTTTGTTGCTATAAAGACTGTCATTGGGATTTTGATAAGTCCGGGGATGTCTTCATAAACTTAGGTCTATTAACTTCCTTCATTAGTGTTTTATTATTTTTTAAGTTTTTTCCCCTAAGTGTGTTTATTCTTTTTTGTTGCTAGTAAACAGGACTGTTTGCTTGGTCACCATGACTTCCTTCTCACAGTTTATTGTAGATAGAAACATAATTGATTTCTTGATTCTGATTCTGGATCTTGAAACTTCACTAGATTCATTTACTAGTTTTAATAGTACTGATCAAATCTTTGAGGATTTCTAGGTACACAGTAAAGTTAATAATACCTGTTAATAAACTGGATAATAATATGTAATGCTACAAATTGAAAGTATATAGTTATTTAAAACTTAAGAATTATGCATTTCTGGAATTTTCCATTTAATGCTTTCAAATGGATAACCTGTGGCTGAACTGCAGAGAAGAAAGACTAAGGTGTGACCATGCCTTTGGCAAATAGGGATAATCTTCTTTCCTCTTTTCTGAGTTGGATGTCTGTCCTCATCTTTTACTTCTTTTTCCTATCAAAATGTTCTGAATGAAGTATACGATTCTTGCCTTGTACCAGGTCTTCAGAGGGAAAGCTTCCTACTTTCTCTCACTGATTACGATGTTAACTGTGTTTCTCATAAAGAACTTTATTATATGTTGACATTAAGTTCCTTCTACACCCATTTTGCTTAGTTTACTCATAAGTAAATACTGAACTTGATCTTTTGCTTTTTATGCATCTATTCAGATGATCACATTGTTTCTCCTTTCACTTTTCTTCTATTGTTGTATCATACTTATTATATATTACGCCATTTTTATATCCTAAGGACGCATCACACTTGGTCATGGCGCATGCCCCTTTCAGTGTGCTTATGCATTTGGTCTGCTAGTAATTCATCTGGGATTTATGTGCCTGTGTTCATCAGGTATACTGGTGAGAGTATTTGCTTGCAGTCTTTATCAGGTTTTGGTCCCAGGGTGATGCTGGCCTAACAGAATGAGTTCTATTTTTGGGGAAAGTACTGGCATTAATTTTTCTTCGAATGTTTTGTAGGATTCACTCTTGAGGCCATCTGGCCATGAGTTTTACTTTTTGGGGGGAGATTTTGATATGCTAGTGTTTCAGGCTTGCCATTTCTTTTTGATTCAGTTTGGACAGGTTTTATGTTTCTGCCTATTTTTTACTAGGTTATCTAGTGTGTTGGTATATAATTTTTCCTAATAGTCCTTTTATTTTTGAGGTATTTGTCGTCACATCCTGTTTTTTAGTTCTGTTGTTATTCGAATTTTCTTTCTCCCCCTTAATCTGAGAAAGCCAAGGGTTCATTAATTTTATCTTTTCAATAAACTCTTAATTATCACTGATTTTTCTAATGTTTTAAAATTCTTTACCTACCAATATTCTAATATTTATTATTTCTTTTCTTCTACTAATTTTGGGCCAAATTTGTTAGTCCAGTTCTTTGAAGTATAAAGTTGTTTACCTGGGATGGTTGTCTTTACGGTAAACATTTTACATCTTTTTCTGTTGTTTTTGTTGTACCTTACATGTTAGTATGTGATTTTTTTTTCTACAGATACAGATATGCTTTTCATTTGCCCGGTGGATATTGTTTAGTTTCCAGGAATTTTCTAATTTTATTTCACTGTGGTAAAAAAGAAATGATGTTGGTCTTCTTAAATCTGTTCGGACTTGATTTGTGAACATGTGATCTAACTTAGAATGTTCCGTGTGCCCTGTGTGTACTATTTGCTGTTTGGTAGATACATGTTTGTATTTTCCTGCCAATTGTTTTTTTAAAACTTCTCCCTCCCTATACAGTTGGCCTGAAACTTGCAATTCTCCTGAGTAACAGGGATCACAGCTATAAACGAACACATGCTCCCTTGTTTATTATTTTAATTTTAGTTCCAGTATTAGATCTTGAATGCAGAGTCTTTCCTACCTGTGGCTTTGTCTACTGAATAGCTAGGATTATATCAAAGAGCAACTGGTGCCCTGTTAGATGAGCAATAATTTAACAAATAAATCGTGTACCGTAATTTCAGAGGTCAAAGCATGTGTTCTAGTGGAAGCAGCCCATAGGCTGGGATGAAGAGAATGGAAACAAACAATGTGAAGGAAGCTGCTGAGTGTGAAAGCTGCCTGTGTAAAGGCCAGCTGGCAGGAGGAAGACCTGAACTGATCTTTTATCATACATATAAAAGGACATGGTGTTAAGAGTCAACCTAAGACTTAAAAAATGGATGTTGCCTGTTTAACTATGACCATTCACAATGTCTGCTTAACTATGACCATTCACAATGTCTGTTTAACTATGACCATTTACAATGTCTGTTTAACTATGACCATTCACAATTTCTTTTGGTTATTATTGGAAAAAATCCTTTTCATTTCCTTCATTTTTATCTTATGTCTTTAAATCTAAAATGAATTTCCTATAGATAGCCTCTTATTAGATTCTCTTTTGTAATATGCACTTAATTCACTCTGCCTTTTGGTTGGTGAGTTCATTCATTTAAGGCAATTACTGATAAGGGGAGATTAACTATTGCTTTTTTTTTTTTTTGGGGGGTCCGGTCGTGGGGCCTGAACTCTGGGCCTGGGCACTGTCCCTCAGCTCTTCAGCTCAAGGCTAGCGCTCTACCACTTGAGCCACAGCACCACTTCCGGCTTTTTTTCTTTTTGGTTATGTGGTGCTGAGGGATCGAACCCAGGGCCTCAGGCATGCAAGGCAAGCGCTCTACCACTGAGCCACCTTCCCAGCCCCTATTTTGGAAATTTTTGTCCTTCCAGAGTTCTTCTCTTGCTGTCTTCCTTTTTGCTACTTGATAATTATTCTTTTTAGAGTGACTTATTTCGATTATTTTTTAACCATTGGTGTGTATGTCTATTGGATTTATGCACTTGATACCATTTCTATAAATATTTTAATGACTGGCTCAAACATAAAAGAATATTTCATCATGCAATTTGGTGTGCATATCAGAGTATCAGAGATGTAAATAGTAGGTAAGACTTTTGGAAAAAACTCATTGTAAAGAATTCAAGATATGTTATTTGCTTAAAAGTTTCACATAAAAATAATGGAATATTCTCAAGGTATCTTCTTTATTTAAATACAAATTTTTGCACCTGATTTTTTTTTCTTTTTAAACCAAGACTTGCTATTTTGGGAGTTTGCAGTGATCCTAACTAAAATCACAAATATTACTAAAAAAAAAAAAGCTAAATACACTGCAGCTTTGAATTCGCCCCAATCCCCAGCATGGAAGTGAAAATAAACAAACATCTTCCTATGAATCCACCCAAGAATGCCAGCTACTTCTAGAGTGAAAGGTTGACAAAAATAAAAACACCCTAAAATCTTGTTTCTAAATGTAACAGCTTTCACATTTAATGGACACTAACCTTTGGGTTTTGGTGGCACAGGACCTACAAATCCAATATTGTCATAAAAGTTATGAATAGCGCTGGGGTTAAAGTGTGGTCCTGAAATATATAAAAAGTAAATATATCAATGTTTATAGCTCAGAAATATTTGATTTAATTTTTAAAGCAAGCATTTCTTTCTAAAAACACAACAATATAAACAGAAGAAATGCTTTTCAATTATTTTCACCAGTAATCTCAAATTATATGTAAGATTTCACAAACATTTTAGAAATATAAGTACAATATAGTACTCATAAACAGAGGCAAGTGCCAAATTGAGGAAGAAGCCAAATTAAAGCTTATTATGAAGAATTAGAAGCAGACCTTGCTTTACATAAGAAATTAAATAACCTTAAATGTGATGTTTAAAAAAATTTTAATTATCAAACAGACTTAAACAACAGAAAAGTCTTGCCCCACATTACTATAACAACCTTCAGCTAATGGATAGAATGGTTCGGATGTCACACTAAAGGAACAAGTTCAACCACTCATTTTCTTTTTCTCTCCAAAGTTTAAACTCTGGCATTTTTTCTAAAAATGTTTCAAGATAAATGGCGTACCACATTTTAAAAGAAATTTAAGTGAAATTAGTCACCTTTTAGTATAATGGATACGAGGTCACACTCAGAAGTATGACTGAGGATTCCTTTAGGTTAGCTTCCTTCCTTTGCCTATCTTTTCTGTTTTGTACATTTGTGTTATGGCCTCAAATTCAGAACTAGGTTTCAGCAGTAAAATCTCATTTTGGTTTTCTACAGAGCTGAATTAAACTGCAAGTATTTTTTTTTTCACTATAATAAGAAATCACTCCTTGTTTCTAACAGCTCAAGTAATAAAAACCTATCACAATCTTAAGAATGAACTTTTATTTTGTTCTCTGGTGGGAGGTGTGTAAGTTATTGAAATTATTAAAAAGTAGAAGAAAAAAGGGGCAAACAGTTATTTGGATACATCTGTATTAATGAACAATGTTTCAAGCTTCAACTATAGGTCACAGCTAGACATACTAATCAGTGGCTTCCTGTGGGGATTTACAGGATATAAAATACATCTAGTTGCTCCTGAATCAAATGCATATTTTTGTTTTGGTGTAGAGGAGATAAAAATCCAGCTGCTCTGAGCCCTATCTGGCTCTAAAGTTAATTAGTCTGTGACAGTAAGTTTGTGAGTGAGTGGCAAGTCTGTTTTTAGCCACAGAAAAGAGTTGGCGGATCGATTCAATGACTTTCAGCTGAGTATGCACTGAACTTTACCTCGGGCTTGAAAAAGATCAATTTCTTTGGTTAAGCAGTCAATGTCAATCTGGAGTTGTCTATTACAACTTCTCAACTGCTGCATTTCTTCAAGCTGTAAAATAATTCCATGTAAGAAAGATTTGCATTCAATTTTTACATCATTTAGTTAAAAAAAACAAGAGTCTGGAGGAACAGGTAAGGACAGAAAACCAAATACGAATCATGAGCATTTGCAGAAAACTAGATCAAGTTTTTTTTTTTTTTTTTTTTTTATGATGGCAGACAGTATGAGAGTATATAAGACTTTAACACTTACTGAAGGGATCTGGGATATGGAATTTGACCTTTTCAATCGCCTTCGGGTTAGATTATTTTCCATTTCATTGACCTCGGATTTTAGTTTATCCAGCTTTTTCTTCTGAATCTCAAGTTCTCTTTGAAGACGCTCCATTCTGGCTTTCTGGTGTAGCAACAGAGCTGTCATACATATAAGGAAACGTGAGGATCCACCACCTTAGGAATGAACCTCTATGCTGACTTGGTAAAACAAAAAACAAAACAAAAGGACTATACCTGTGACAAACCAGAACTGACCAATAATCCCACAGCTACATTAAAACACAACATTGTTAGTTGTTTAAACACGTATAATTTCAAAAACTCTAACTTAAAAGTTGTTTTAATTATTTAAGCAAATATCATTCACATTTAAACGTTTCTTTTAGGGTTTAGATTAAGTCTACTTCATGGTCAAGATAATATTTTCAGCCTATACCTTTTCTTTCTTTTTTTACTTTTATTATCAAGGTGCTGTTCAAAGTGTTAGTTACATATGTAAAGCAGTGAGTGTATTTCTTGTGAAGCATTGTTACTCCTTCCCTGGTTTTTCTCCCACTTTTCCTCCTCCCATCCCCCCTCCCAAGTTGTAAAGTTCATAGTGCCTTGTATCATTGTTGCATTGGTTCACTCTTTGTCCTTTGTCTCACCATTTTGTTATTCTCCTTCCTCTCCCCACATTTAATGTATACACAAGACACAGTGTATCAAAATAAAAAAGTGGCAACAGAGGATAAACCAAAGAGGGGAAAATACAAGAAAAAAGAAATAACTTCACACAGTACATTAAAAACAACAACAAAACCCTTTGTTTCCATATATTGGAGTTCATTTCAATTAGCATCATTTTTATATGGTCACACATACATAGCTATGGAGCTAGTATGATCCTCTGCTAGGACTATCCTAGACATATACTAATTATTACAAATGAAGGAAACCATCTGGTGTACTTCATTTAATGTTTTTTCCCAAGTCTTTTCATTTCCTTATGAACGGGGTGATGTCATTCTGATGGAAGCATAGAATTACACTGTGTATATATACCACATTTTCTTGGTCCATTCATCTATTGAGGGGCATGTGAGTTGGTTCCATGTCTTAGCTATGGTAAATAATGCTGTAATGAACATAGTTGTGCTGGTAGCTTTAGTGTGGCCTTGTTTGTGTTCATTTGGGTAAATGCCTAAGAGGTAGGAATAAGTTTGTAAAACCAAAATAAGTTTGTACAATCAAACAATAAAGATCAAGAAGTCAATTAATGGACAACATATTTCAACAAGTTTTAGAACACAGTAAAAGCAGACGAAATGACAGAGACTAATAAAGGAGAATACAGAAGATTACAGCAGGGCATTATGAACAGGTAATTAGCTTGTCCTGTAGCCCTCTAGGAGACTGAAGGAAACAAGTAGTGGGAGAAGTGACAATGGGGCAGAAAAAAGTGTCTGACTGGGTATGGAGTAATCATTCCCCATTGTGAAGGGCAAGCTATATGTAGCTTCATGTTTATTTTAAACCCCCACTTCCATTTCCCTTCCTAATGCAAAGGTGTAAGTCTCACTTTCATAACACGGGCTTTCATCTGGCCTTTATAACACTTTACTGAAACCATCAGCCAAAGATCACCGCACATGAAAGAAGTGGATAAACAAAGAGCAAAACTGAACCTTAAAAAATGAAGGCAACCAGGGAGACAAACCAGCACTTCTAATTAATGTAATTAAGTGATAAAACATACTGCTATTAAAAAGAATCTGCGGACCAGTTCTCAGAAATTAGAAACATCACTGCTGAAATAAACATTTCCTATATACAGGTTATAACAAAGACCAAGGTAGTCTCCTAAAACAGAAAATGGAAAGACAAGACGGTAGAATATACTAAAGACATATGGTCCAGGGGACTGAAGGCATGGCTCAGTGGAATAGAGCCTGCAAAGCCACTGTGAAACCCTGAATTCAAATTCCAGAGCTGCTCCCACCTTCTAAACAAGGAAGCTGGAAAGTTGGTGTAGGACGTTGAATAACTGGTGACAAAGTCTAAAAAAATGAAAATGTAAAAACTGTTAGAGATAAGAAGAACTTTTCTAGGGCTGAAGGTAGAATATGGAGTAGGGAACAAAGAAGACTAAAAAAAGTCCTAAGAGCTTCTGCCTACAGTCACAAAATTCTGAGTTCAAATCACAGTACTACCAAAAAAAATTTTGTTTTTTTTTTGCCAGTTGTGGGGCCTGAACTCTGGGTCTGGGCACTGTCCCTCAGCTCTTCAGCTCAAGGCTAGTGCCCTATCACTACTTCTGGCTTTTTTCCTGCTTATGTGGTGCTGAGGAATCGAACCCAGGGTGTCTCATGTATGCAAGGCAAGCACTCTACCACTGAGCCAACTTTCCAGCCCCTTTTTCTTTTTTTTAAAGGAGGAAAAAAGGCCTACTACTAGTCACGTCATTGTAAAATTTTATTATTTCCAGGAAAACAAGATCATCTACAAAGGCACAAGTACAATGATATAGGATTTTCTCAGTGACATGTTCTGTGGAAAAATGAATTTCATTGAAGAATTCTACACAAAGGTAAAAATATGAGGGTACTTTCAGACATTTAAGGATTTATGTATATTTCAGGAGATATTCTAACATAATGAAGGGATAAATGAAGAAGGAAGAGTCAAGAAATGGTGACTCCTATTTATAAAAAACAATAAAATCAAATCCCTAGGTGAGGGTTAGGTAGTAAACTTAGCAAAAAATCAGTTGATATTGTGAGGGGGCAGCAATGTCTCTTGGAAAAAGGAATAAATGGTACCTTAGAGAGATGTAAGAATATGATAAAGACAGAATGAAAAAAAATCCTTCTAAAATTCCAAGAGAGAGAGAAACCAGTATCAAAGAACTATCATACAAATGAACAACTTGGCTCTGTCATGAACTTTAAACAGTATGTTATTTTTTGTAACTTCTATTAACTGTCAGTGTTATAATCAACCTATAGACCAAGCATAATCTATAAACTGCTGTGGCTGAAAGTTTGTGCTCCATGAGTCCATCTGTTGAAGAATATCCCCACGGTAGCAGTATGAGATGAGACCTCTGGTGCTGCTCTTATACATGGGATTATTGTCCTTCTCAAAGAGACTTGATGGTGTTTGCTCTTCCCTTCCTACACCACACACGAGTCACCATCTAGGAGTCATTGGCCCTTACCAAATACTGAATCTGCTAACACCTACATTTTGAGCTTCCCCGATGTCTAGAAGTGACAGGAGCACATTTCTGTTGTTCATAAGTTACTTAAAGTATTTTTTTTTTGTCAGTCCTGGGACTTAAACTCAGGGTCTAGGCACTGTCCCTGAGCTTCTTTCTTTGCTCAAGGCTAGTGGTCTACCACTTGAGCCACAGCGCCACTTCCAGCTTTTTCTGTGGATGTGGTACTGAGGAATAGAACCCAGGCCTTTTTGCATGCTAGGCAAGCACTCTACCCAGACCTTAAATAATTTTCTTGTAACACTGGAATATACTAAGGAATCATGAACAAAGTGTAAAAGTTAGCTAATATATATTAGCTAACTTTTAGCTAGTTAATATATATTAACTAGCTATATATATTTTAGTTAGTTAATATATGTTATATAAGTAAAAATAAATAGATACAAATTGGAAAGAAATAAAGAGAAAGGAAGAGCTGCTGGTGGCTTACTGCTATCAGTAAAAGCCTAATTTATCATAGCAGTTAGCAAAAACCAATTTAAACAGAATAAACATATTTAAAAAAGCTATACTCAAACTCTGTATATATATATATATATATATATACACACACAGTAATATGTGGTTTATGTATATATCCAATGTAATTAGATATAAACAAAAATTACACTATATAAATGTACACATAAAATATATGTATTGATAAAATACAGTGAATGTTCACCATTTTGGAATTCAAGCTTAATCAGATAGTAATGGAAATGAAGTTATTTTTGTACTACTAGTTTAAAAGGCATTAAACAAACACAGGGAAGTACAAGGGATAGAAACAAGCAAACTATTTCAAGGGCTTACATGTTATTACCTTGGAAAGTGTAGGCATTAAACATCTCTTGGATATGAAATAATAAAAATTTCACTTTTAATGAATCCTAATTTTAATTAGGATTTTAATTTAATAGAAGAAAACATTGATAGAAACAATGGTAAAATAAATAACTGATATTATTAAAAAGTCTCTTTAAATGTTAAACTTTAATTTTTTTCATGTAGCAATAGTTAATACATTGTGAAATACAGTAAGACCAGTAAGACTTTTATGGTACTGAATACATATGTACTAAGGTAATAAAAGTGGCATATTTAACTTAAAATTGTTTTACTTCTTTAGTTTCCCAAACAAGTCTGTTTTCCTAAACACATAAAAAAGGAGGAATTACAGGTTAAAAAAAATTAGAATCTTTTGAATCCTTTTTCAGACAAAATTAAATTAATGGATAAAAGTAGTTTAGTCATGTAACTACCTCCCTCTTGTGGCTGTTAAGATAACTGTTTGTGAATTAAAGTTCAGTATATGTAAATTTAAGTACACCTATCCAGGTGAATCTGATGTGTTATATAGAAAGCTAAGTCTTCACCTAGCTTCTGATGAACAATGCAGAAAAATGTCAATTTTATTTGAAACCAAAAAAAAAAAACAAGAAGTTCCATATGGTGTTAGTTTAATAATTTTAGGCACTCCATAGTATCAGCAACCTTAACCATGAGGACAAGATGAGCTTAAAAAATATCTATGATTCTGTAAAGTGTACCCCAGACCTTGTCTTGATGGATATAAAGATTACAGACTTATTTCAAAGAAAAAAAATGCAACTGAAAACATAATGGGGACATATTTTTCCTTATATATGTATATGTATGTATATATAAAATATAATCATTCCTGTCATTAAACTAAGAAAGTAAATGTCAGTTTCTAAGAAAGAGTCAAAATTTCCTATTTGGTGATTGAATCACAAAAGATTCAAAGGTGGCAATTCTTTAAAACAAAGCACCCTGTTTTTATTATTTTGCTATTTTAAAGGCAAATTGAAATCCTAGCTTGCAACAGTGCTATAACTAGGCCTGTAACTTGGGAATAGATGCACCAACAGCA